CCCCCCCGCCCTGCAGCGGCCAGGTGATTGCCATCCAGTTTGAGGGGCCCAACGCCATTGCCAAGTGGCGCGAGCTCATCGGGCCCACGCGCCCCGTGCAGTATGCCTTGCTTGACGACCCGACCGCCTACCACCCCCCGAATGCCCCAAGTCTGCGCCTCTCGGCTTTTCTTCGCCCGCTGACATGTGCTCACCTTGCCTCCTCCGCCCCTGCCAGGTGCAAAAATGCCAGCCCGGAGAAGCTGCGCGCCCTCTTTGGACTGACAGACACGCGAAATGCTTTTCACGGCAGTGGTATCCCGGCCATCTCTTTTGGTTTTCCTTATGCCCTCCCTTTCCCGACTTGATCCGTGTGCCCTCCGACTGACCCGCCGCCTCTTCGCTGTCCCTGCCCAAGACTCTCCCCAGACGGCGGCCTCGGAGATTGCATTCTGGTTCGATGGGACCTTCGGCCAGGAGGAGTAGACGTCCCCGCCGGCCAGGCCTCCCCCCTCGAGATGGGGATATTGCCCTCCCGCTGCCCCCCCCCTCCCCTCCTTCCCTTTCCCTGCCCTTGTCTGTGTGGGGGGTTGATACAGCAGCCATCCATGGATGTGTCCCTTTTTTCTTTTGCGCAAGGAATTGCCCCATCAGCATGTTTCTTTTTTTTTTTCCCGCCTCATCTCCCTGTCCCTTTTGTCACCGCAGGCTAGACTCCTCCCTTCCTTCCCGGGGTTGGTGGTGTGCGGGGAGAGGCGCATCGGCAGGGAAGAAAAAGGCGCAGAAAAGACCAGGTAAAAGTGCCGTGCGGTTGTATATGTCTCTGTCGCGCGGAGCGGGCGCATACCCACATAGCAGCTGCTCTGCCTGTCTGTCTCCCTTCTGAAGGGAGCGTGCAGGGGAAGAGCCGGCATACAGCATCACAAAAAATACACATGGAGGGGGAGAGAAGGGAGTGCGGGAAGGGAGCACAGTGCATTTGTAATGTTCCTACTCCCAAAAAGCCCATGTGCCCTCGCACACCTCCCTTCCCAGAGGGAGGAACATCGGAGAGCAGTTGAAGTAGAAATACAGGGGGGAGGGAAGAAGCAGGGGAGGAGCAGCGTGCTGCAGACACGCTGAGACGCCGCCCCTTGCAGTGTGCCAGAGAGCGGGCCATGGGGGAAGGTGGGTGGTGAATCTGAAGCGGAGGCGGCGGCAAGCGACAAAAAAGAGGGAGAAGATCTCCCCCTCTCTCCGCGCTCTTAGCACATGTGGTACTCGATGGTGCCCTTGCTCTGGGAGATGGCGCCGTCGAACTCGTAGCTGAGCACGATATCCAGGTCGCGGGGGTTGCGGGCGTTGGGCTTGCACGAGAGCTTGCCCTCGACAACCTCGCCGCGGCGGATGGTCAGCATGTCCTCGATGTAGAGGACGCTCTGCTTCCAGTGGGTGTACGGGGCCTGGGGGCCGGTGCTGAAGGTGACCGGCTTGTGCAGGCCGTGCGAGAACTCGATGTCGAAGTACACCACGAAGGCGTGGATGTAGTCGTTGCACACCGAGCGCAGGGAGAAGGGCACCTCGAAGGAGAGATCCTCCTTCTTGACGGTCAGGATGTCAATCGAGTAGACCACCTGGGGCTTGGTGTTGACGGCCTCGCCGTTGACCGTGTCCACCAGCGGCTCGCGCATGGCCAGCTTGCCGATGGCCGACATGTCGAAGCCATAGACATTGTCCCAGAACCCGTGCTTGGACTCCTTGTACTCGCCATCCTCGATGGTGGTGATCAGGAGGGTGGCCTTGTCCGGCAGGATGAGGCCGCCCTCGACCAGCCACTTGTCGCGCGCAAACAGAACCGAATCCAGCATGGACTCATACAGCAGGAAGTAGCCCATCCACTCGCTGATGATGATGTCCACCTTGTCGGTGGGGAGGTCGATCTCCTCGATCTTACCCTGGATCAGGGTGATCTCTGCGCGAGCAGCAGGCCGGCCGAGCCGGGACAGGGGGTTAGAGGAGAGGGCCGAGAGGCAGGGGATGGAGCGACACACGGGAGGGCGCCCGGCAAGGGGGCCAAAGGCACGCACTGTCCTCGAAGCCGTTGTCCTTGACAATGTTGCGAGCATGGTTGATGATGCTAGAGCAGTCGACCTGGATGTGTGTGTGTGTGTGTATATGAGAGGAGGGAGGCAGGCAGTTAGAGGGAAGGCCAAGCCAGGCAGGGAAGGAGGAGACAGCATCTGGGCGAGGGGACAGGGAGATGTCATGCAAGGACAAAGGAGCAGCATAGAGAGAGAGAGAGAGTGGCATGATAACGCACAGCGTAGACGTGCTTGGCACCGGCCTTGGCGGCGAACATGGACAGGATGCCAGTACCGCAGCCGACGTCGAGGACGATCTTACCCTCGAAGACGTGCTTGTTGCGCATGATGGCATCACGGTAGGCAAGGGTGCGGACCTCGTCCTTGAGCATCTCCTCATGGATGCCTGAAGGCGGGGGAAGACAGGACAGGTCAGCGGGGAGGGGGGGGGGGGGG